AATTAACTCACCCGATAACCTCATCAACCGAGTTAACTTTAATTTCTTGTAATCCACTCCATAAAATATGCCCTTTAGAATCCTCTCTTATAGTAACTTGAGGTTTATTTTCTCCTTCACCCTCACCAAGTAGATCAATTAAATCTTCATTATAAATTTCAATAAATGAAACCTTAAATTGAAATTTACGAGATTTATATTGTAGAGAATTTATAATATCAAATAAGGTTTTCATAGCCCGAGGGATTATTCCTTTTTGTTCGGCAGAGATTTCTGTTGAGTCAGACGTACCCATCGTATAAGTCTTGCCTGATGAAGTTTGGCCATATGCTAATATTGTTACGTTGTATCCTGTGTATATATAATTAGGTGAATTAAATGTCAAGATGATAATTAACATTTAATTCGTTATAAATAATTATTTACAATTTTCATGAAATAAATATCCATACGATAAACTTTCATAAACTATATAATTATTCAATTACACAGGATATCTATTTCTAAACACAGCAAAATCCTAATCTTAATACGTTACCTTCTATGAATTTATCAATTAGCTTTAATACAGCTTTGTTATAAATTTCATTCTGTGAAGTTTCTGGACTAAACACATGATCAAATGTGAAGAATTGTTTCTTTTCTCCAGATACAATAACTTGATTTGAAGTATTCGGCGATATAGATAAGACTTGTCGTTGAAATCTTGACGGTAACGATGCTAAATCTTCTTCTGTTAACGGTCGTATTCTTAGAGCTATTAATACAAGGATCGTAATTTATGATGAAAAGCAGGTACAATATACAAATGGGTTAATAAGGGATCAAATTATTTTATAATGTAATGATGTAATAATAATAAAGTCGGGTCGGATCATTTTTTTTTTTAAAGTAAAATATTATTATTATTATTGTTCTTATTGTTATTATATTATTATTGTTGCTGATCATATTTTTTTAATCATATCTTTCGAAGATTTACATTATCTTTATGCAAGTATTTAATTCTCTATTTTACTTTTTTTTTTTTCAAATTAGGTTTTATCTTAATTAAAGTTTTGTTTTA